AAACGTTATCTAGACTGACCTAGACGCGAGGGCGCTATGTCTAGGTCAGAGGGGGAGGTTGTAACGCGGCATCCTAAACGGTTTGTGTCGGACGCATGCGCGTGGCGTTATAGGCAACGCCACACCCCTCTTCCACTACCCCGCCACTGACCGCTCGACGCTTGCGTAGGCGCGAAACGGGAGTGAGTCCCCGCGCCGGCGACCGTGACGCACGCGCCCTTGTATTTGTGCCGCGAACTTTGCTTAATTGTTGTTATAGTATTAGTTTACCTGTATAAAGTATCTCAATATATCAGTTATCACTATTGATCGTGTGTCGAACCCTTATTTCACACCCCCGAGAAGTTATACACCATTATATATGTTATTTTAATTAGTTCTAGTTTTAATTTCTATATATTTTGACTGCATAAAAGCATAATTTTTAGAATGTTGGTTGACTCGTAACTGGCTAATGTACATTGGAAGTTAAATACAAGCGTGTAGCAAAAACGGAGTTGACCAAAAAACCTCACTCATTAGTCACTATTATAACCCCGAAGTTAACACCTGCTAAATTAACCTTTTTCGCACACACACATTCTACTTTTTTTCCAGCAAAAAATCTCGTTTCCTGTACGAACTAGGGTCGCTTAGCTTAGCTTAACTTGCCTAGTTAGGAAGCAATTAAGTTGTTAAAAAGGTTCAACTTAATTACGGTGGTTCGTTAAACGTTTAATTCTTCATTGTTACAACCAATACTTAAAAACATTAAAAGATTTACTTCACACACATTTATTATATTTTAAGACTTATTTTTTGTAGCATTTCTATGGCTGCTTCCAAGTTTTTTTTAAACATGGATTTGTGAAATATACAAACAATTCTTTCGTAGGAAATCTCCCCCCACAACAGATTACAGAGTTACTTGCCACACTTAGTAACGTAACTAAGAATCTGTTAGTAAAACTGATTGAATAAATGTAACCATCGAGTTCCTTGTTCATTTTTCTAAATCGGAATTTACACTTTTGAAAAAGAGCTTCATAAAAAGACGAACCTGAGACTGACACTTGTTATCTTTAAGCTTTGTTTGGTTACAAAAGTGCCCTCCTTCTGTGACTAAGTTATGTCGCAGAAGAAGGCGGTGGAACGGGTCCAAGAGGCAAATGCCCTTGCAGACTCGATTTGTCACTGGAGGATGGGTGGGCGTCTAAAGCGCGCCGCCCTAGCAACAGCCAGAAAGAACCCTGGGTCACGAAAGTCCTCGTGGCTCTCAGCTTTAAAGGCAGAAGACGGCACGAAAGCTGAGTGTTTTAGTGGGTGCAAACACCGCATAACCTCACCGTCACTCTGGGTGGCGTTACATACGCCACCCAGAGTGACGAGTGCGTGAGGCATTTTCTGAGCTGGACAAAAAAGGGGTTGCGATTTTGCTGGCTTCACTTACACGGTGAAACAAAACGCTGTGGTTGTTTCACGGTTTAATGTGAAGCTGTAGTACTACTTCTGTCAAGCCCGTCAAATCGTATCGAAGTATGGCTCTTCAACATTTAATAAACTTTACTATTCTATGCTAGAACATTATCAAAATGGAAATTTGAATTTCAATGATAAAGAACTCATCACACAAAATTAGTTCGTTCTACTACAACTGAGATCTATCCACTAATGAAATATCAATAAGTAATCCAAAGACTTAATTACAAGAGAATTTATTGTAATATGAAAATAATGTAATTATAATTATATCGAGACCGAATTTCGTGGAAAACTTAATCCAATAATACTTTAAGATAAGCCCCTTAATGTTATTGGATTATTATTAACCAAAAACGATTATATTAACATGATAATGGGTATTTGAAATTTGTTTGTTATTGCGTGGGTTGTCTTTGTTATTAAGCATACTAAATAATATATGAGTACTTTGTTAAACAGACCCATAGTTGTACATTATCACAGATCCTTCCCTTATTTATTTATTTAAAAATAAGCACACCAACAATACAATCACCCAATGTTAAACAAAAAACACAATAATCAAATAATTGGATGCACAAGCAATTGTACAAATTACAGGTGTGCATGACATTGAAAATGAAAGGTTTTTGAGATTTATTCAACTAAACCAATAATTAAAAAAAAACATGTTAAAGCAATAACGATGGGCACTGTGCACATTGTTTAAGTAGGGAGCATCTGTATGATGCGAAGTTCATGGAGAAAATATCGATGGGATAATCTGTCATAATGGCCCTTTCATTACATAATCTTATTATTATTATATTATCTTATGGCTACTTATTATCATTGTGACTACATTAAAACGAATTACACGCTAGTGAAAGTTAAACTGTTAACATATCTAAACAGCCCTTTGGAGATAATTAGCTCTATATATTTAAATACAGCCATAAACGTGCACCTTTGTTCTACACAAATAGAAAAAAACCACGCATATAACTTTTAACACATGTATAATTACTAGCTTTTGTCCGCGACTTTGTTTGCGTGGAATAGGGACTTCCTGCAGGTTTTTGTTAAACTATGCCCGTGCCAAATTTCACACAAATAGGTTCAGTACTTTAGGCGTGAAGAAAAGACAGACAGTCAGAGCTACTTTCGCATTTATAATATTTGTTTGGATATACATAACAAAAGAATTATCATATTTCTTTTATTTAGATTCTTTTAATCCATAAAAGTATGAACCAATGATCGACTGGCTTCATCTAGTTTTTCACTTATAATTTGACGTGTAAAAGTGCCGTTTTATGGCCTATTTGCAAAACTAAATTCATTGTTTCATTGACTACGATAACCGACTTTTTATCGACCCCTTAGAGCTCGAAACTGGTCGAGCACCTTCGAAATACTAGCATAAGGCACTTACCACAAACACACAATCAATAAAAGCTTTAAACACACAAACAACACTCAAAAACATTCAATTGAAAGCAGAAACTGATCAAAACGTATTACATTAATGGGAACTTGTACCCAAATGTGTTTGTCACTTTAGTTGTTTTGTTCGAACGGTCAAAATACTGAACGTTTCAATTCGGAGCTTTGAGAATGCTTAAATTAAATGGTTCGACGTTCGGACAAAACCACATATTGCACCGACTGCCAGATTACACGGACCTACGTATGTATGTGTTTATGCTGTAAAACACATCGCTGTACTGGAATGGCTATGTGATGAAACATGACCTCGAAATCTTAAGTAGGTATATTTCGGTGTTTTGTATGATCGAGTGTAGGAGAGTCAAGCTTTCAGGGAGGGATACCACAGAATTATGGAAAACCAGCGTGATACAACCACAGCGTTGCATTTCACCGTGTGAGTGAGGCTCCTGGAGGCCCACCCTTCCTCTTCCTTCAATCCTTTCCTTCCCTCGCCAGTCCGCAAATCTCTGAAATCCCAAAATCCATTCCCAAAACGACCGGCAACACACGCGTAACTTCTCTGTAATTATAAAAGTTAAAGTTCAGATTTATTTACAGTGATTTTCAATATAGTCAGCGATGTTCTGTAGTACTCTAAAAATACTTGTTTTTCTTGGTTTTGAACTTGCACCCTGATGCGTCAGAAGCGATAGCCTTATTAGTCTTCGGACCACCAAGGCGTTTTGACTACCGACATTTTAATGGAATGAAATCTGTCATCATAAATTCGTGAAAAGAAAATGAATTTGCCACTCGTCCCTGAATTTATTTCCGGAAATAAAGGTTTTCTTTGTTCCATTACCATAAGACGGCATTTATTTTCTCATCACAAACCGCTAAGTATTGAGTTACACTGTATATACATACCTATATAGACAGGAAAACAAAAATAATTGGATTTAGCAAACATATAACAAAACAAATAAATACTCATTACGAATACTCTGAAACATATAATAATTATTGTTTTAAATATACTTTGTTTGGAATATCTCTCAAAGGGAGTTCTCCAAACATTTTTGTTACAAGGAAACTGTAATTGACGGAGGTCATTGACTTCTATTCATATTTACAAGACGTTGATCAAATGTCGGAATTATTCCATATTTATTATATCCTCATCTTCACTGCGATACATACATACACTGAAAAAAAAAATATTTGCTGCAATAAACATCGTGTTTAATTTGACCACGCATCATGATTCCATATGAGCCTACCAAGATCTTGCTTTCTGCAGCTATGAAACCTTTGTTAAATTATCATGGTTCCGTTTACTAAGTAATGAATTGCCATAATTATGGGTAGTTATTTAATTTAGCTCAAATGTTGGTTAGTTTAAGGATGAGATATTGTCTCATCAATAAAATTAACTTGTCGGTTCAACTAAGATCTTGCACGACACGTCTGTGCGACAATTTAAAATCAATCAAGTCCATGAGTTGTTTCAACTAAGATCTTACACGACACGTCTGTGCGACATTATAAAATCAATCAAGTCCATGAGTTGTTTCAACTAAGATCTTACACGACACGTCTGTGCGACATTATAAAATCAATCAAGTCCATGAGTTGTTTCAACTAAGATCTTGCACGACACGTCTGTGCGACATTATAAAATCAATCAAGTCCATGAGTTGTTTCAACTAAGATCTTGCACGACAAGTCTGTGCGACATTTTAAAATCAATCAAGTCCATGAGTTGTTTCAACTAAGATCTTGCATGAAGTAACCGTGATAAACTAATTACTTCAACTAACCTCATATTCGTCGTAGACATGAGCCTTTGTCATACGAACTACCAGTATTCGTCAATTCAAGTCACTGTATGTTGCACATCCACAAGTAATTTATTGTAATTCATAAACATTACAATGAGTTATGTAGGTACTTTGTGGATGCGTAATAGAGACACCGACATGGATTTACAAATAAAGGTAATTCATGTGACAACGGTTTAGTACAAAGGCTTAAACTCAGCAAATAGGTACAAATAGTATAGCAATCAAACAATCATGTTTTATTATAATTTTATTAATCACTTCACAAAACACTTATTACAACAATACTTTACTAGAATTTTATTAATGCTACATAACATAAAAAAAAACTTATTATAAGGTGTTTCTAAGAGTTACATATTTTTTTGAATTGCTTAGAATATTTATATTGCACGGTATAGGATGCGAAAAAGAATTAAGAAATTTAACAACATTTTGTTTAGCTTCAGGTTCTTGAACAACATAAGCGAAAAAATGTTCATCAAATTCTAATGTTTGCAATAATTGCCCCATAAGAATCAAACTATTAGAATCATACAAAAAACATTTTGCACTTTAAAAAATACAGGTAGTAAATCATCAGGGCTGGTGTCATAAACTAAAATAGTACCTTTGGCATAGCGTGTAGTAGATACGGTGGCCCAAGAACTTGTACAAGTGACTTCCTTTGACATATTACTAAACTAGATCGTATGAATTGTTCATTAGAAGATTTACCAAGAGTTACACGAGAAACAGGACCAGTTCTGAGAATGACGGGCAATACGCCTTTAAAAAAAATCGTTTAGTTGTAATTGGTGTTTCATAGCTAATGATAATGTAATGTTCCTTCTGTTACATGAAGCATTTGAAGCCATTTTAAATATTCGATGTTTGGCTTCAAATCGCATTGACCACAAGGAAATGATAGGCCCATATTTTTCTAAAGCAGTGTGATAGTGAACTAAATTTTGGAACTTTGGTTTCAATGAATCTTTGGTAAGTGATAAATACATAGTGTTAAGCTCCGTTACTGCGGTCTGTAACTGTCCTTCAGTCCCTTTAGCAAAAGCTGTAGATAAAACTATATCCAATTCAATTTTTAGTTTTTTATACAATTTCCATGTTTCATCCTCTCTAGGTACAAACTCGCCAACTAATAAACCAAAATATCGCAAAAAAGTTAGCATCTCTGACGCTGTCATACGCACATTTCCGTGAACTAAATGATCCATAGCCAAAGTACATGGCTGATTTCTACAGTCAGGACCATAATCGAAGTCGAGCATAGTGAGCACAGTCAATGAGAAAAGTTTGAAATTTCTTATGTATTGAATAAGTATAAATTGCATCACATACTTAGCAACACCTTCTAAAATATCATGCATGCAGTCGACACCTATCTGATTGAATAAATCGAAATCCTTTATGCCAAACCAAACACATTTTTCTTTAATACCTGTCTCTGAAGGATTACCGAGACGAAGATCTGATTCGTAATTAGATAATGTACGTAAAAACTCTTTGTTTTCGAAACATTGCGTTTTCATAACTTGTTTTGGAACTTTACACTGTCGACAGCTTGTATAATATTTACCCTGTGATATATAACCAATTTGTTGACAACTACCAAGTATGTTTTGATTTCATTTAATGACTCGCCAACAATAATTATGTACGGCTGTGATGTTGCGCCTTTATTCTCCAATGTTTTTAGCCGAAGCTCAATAGACTGACTGATTTCAGCGTCAGATCTTAAATGTTTGATGAAAGCATCCCGCGTTTGTACCTTAGATGGTTTCCAGCTGCAGCTAGGTTTTTTTTGTTTCCTCTTCCGGTTTATAGGTGTAGTGTTCAAAAGATGGGGAATTGCCAAAAATGCTGCAAGATTTTTATCTTCTTCCTTAGGGGCTGAAATAAAAAAATATATATAGAAAATCCATTTTAGAATTCATTTTTTATGAGAAACTTTAATATCGATAAAAAGCTTCAGTAGTTTCACCACGACATACTACTTCACGGTATGCCACGGCAGAACACGTAACTTTCGCCTAATAATCAGAGGGTCGTATTCGATAAGGATTTCAATAGACCTGGGGTTAGCACCAATGTGTATCTATGAACTTATGTGTGGAGTAGAATTTTAAAATTACCATATATTTCTTATTGCAAAAAACATAGTATAGGTCTGTACGCTTCTGTATACCGGAGAATATATTTATAGAGATATATGCCTATTTTCTGGCCCTATATAAGAAAGTTAATGCCCAGCAGTGGGATGTATAGGTAATTATAGGCTAAATGAGTAAAGAAAATATTTATACTTACAGTCAGCTACGGAAATTAGCTCCTGGGTGATGTTATCTTTAGTTTTTCTCTTTCGTAACAAATCTAAGATTTTAATTTTTGCCACAGGAAAATAAACAAACAAATTATTTGTTTGGTCTCTATAGGCTGCCTCAAAGTCAATGTTCAACTAAAAATCAGAAACCACAATACAATTATTAACATAGAATTTACAAAATGTAGCTTAAATTACATATATTTAATCATATGGCAAACTTTACCAGAGTATAACCTAGGGGTTTTCTTAGTGCTGGATACTCGTTCATGTATGATTCCAAGGTCTGATCATTGTGGTTTTTATGAAGAAGTGTAATTCGGTATTTAAATGTATTTTTCCATTTTATTTCCACCAGGCTCCAAGGTTCAAGTGACTTAAGTAATATTCTTTCAAGTAACTGAAAAAAAGTGGCATGAAATACAACTATGAATCTTATGGAGAATGAATCATTTGGAGAAATAAACAGTTAAAATAAAAAAAAGGTTCAAAATAAATTAAGAGGATATTATTATTATGTTGATTTGTATGTACCGGAGAATGAAATACTTAAAAACACCAAAGGACCAACAAAAGGATAGTAGTTAGTACTTATAGATTATTTAGATAGTAATCCTCTTTGATGAGTTACATAATTTGTAAACATTAATATTTATGTCAGTTTTGGTTTGCCTACATTTATTTTGTAAACTTTTAAAAACACTTAAATGTGACTCTTTCCACTTAATTATTTTTTTAAAAAGAACACAATTTAGTGACTTCACATAAACATTTAAAAGAAACATACTCCACTCTGTGTTCCTTGTTCAATTTCACCACTATTTGGGGGCACATTTTCATTTACAATTATGAAATTTTCAACATTACTTGTAGGCACATTTTCTTTTTCTTCCGCAAGAGAAATGTTAATAACCGGGTCTCGTCCAAATTCCAAATCTGATAAATCTAGATTCTGCAAGCAAAAATAAGGTCAGTAAGTCACTGGGTAAAATAAAATATTTTCTAGAGTCTGGAGTAGGCAATTTACTTACATAATATTAACTAACTACTAAATAACTAACATAATACTTATATAGGTACCACTACAACATAAAGCATCTTATTGAAGTGTTTTGTTGTTTAATAGTAAACATTTTATAAAAGTGATCAATGTAAGTATAATTTACCATTAAAACAAAGGTGAATGAATACTTTGAAGCTATACAAAATAGTTTCATGGAGCTTATCACTTACAATAATGAGTATCTACTTATGTATAATTGTAATTTATTTGCAAGTATGGGTATTTGATTCTTACGGGTAAAGAACTATTGATGCATAAAAATTCTGCCTTCCAAGCTTTCCAGCACCTCATGAACAGCACCCTTGGCCCTGTTTGAGGGATAATATCCTTGACATCATCAGGGGTCAACGCTGATAAGGCCTGAATATTGATTGCCTGCTCTACAAATTATTAACAATGTAAATCTTTCATGAACTGATGAAATTAATAAAGGATAACTGGCAAACATGTATGAGAAATTTACCTACTGACCAATAACAACTAGATGTATGTCGTCTTTTGTTCCATTTAAGAAGACCTATCTATCACAGGGGTGAGTCCAGACTCCATACATTTCCTATGTTTATTAATTATTGAAGTAACTAATATTTTACCCACCAAAAATTGAGACTAGGGTCAGTGGGTAGCCTTAGGGGCGGAGACTAGCCCCTATCATACCAAATGATAGTCGTGAAAAGAACTTTCTAATGACATACGTATAATTAGTCGTTATTGGTCGGTAGGGATAATCTGCTCGTCATCCTTTTAAAACAATTACGTATTACCGTTACAGGGATACTTATGATGTTCTTCAAAGGTACATATCAACGTTTTACCGCATTGTCGCGATATATAATAGCTAGATAGGTGCCTACACTACGTAGATAGTAGAGTTAAGTAGGTGTTTATGTACAGTCGGTGGGTGACAGCGACGCATTTTGCGTTGCGAAAGCCAGCGTTCAAAATCAATGATGTGATCAGCAAAATACCTACGTAGACTTACCAATAATTTTCATCCAATACAATTTAAGTAATTTTATACAGATCACAGAATAGCTATCTAGCAGGGAGGTACCTACTAGGTAAAGATTACTACAAGATTTATCTTACCTGAAAATTTTGGGATGAGATCAGGCAGTTCCCACGTTTTTAATAACTCTGCCACTTCGTCCATATTTATCACTCACTAGTTAAGCAAAAGAAATTCACGGTAGTCTTCCTATACACGTCTGTAACCGTCGGTATGAGTTGAGTTGAGAATGACAAGTTTGACAAGTTTTTGGCGGGACGGCCGGCCACTGCGTGTTGTTGACACAACAAAGCGTTATTAGATGCAACCACTTCTCTTGTTTGATTTAACTATGCAGGCTATCTAGTCAACTATGCTCGTTGTTAAAAATTACTATATTTTATATATATTGCTAACAAGTTGCTTGTTATCGTGAACTAAAATTATTATTTGATTTATAAAAGTGGAGTAGTAAAATCGAACAAAGCATGTATGATGTAACAAAGTCAGTTAGATATACTGTTCATGTGCAAAATTGTCGACATAAATAAAATGAATTCGTTCTGGTAACTAAGCTTTATTGTTTCAAGTAACAAACTAAATAATTATTCTAAACATTTTGATGCCAACTAAGAGAAAATGCATCTTAGTTGGTGTTCATTTTTTTCAGTGTATAATATCAAATAAACTATTGTACTATAACACAAAGGTTCAAGCATTGCACCTCCATTTGGCTTCAGTTTCTACAACTAAATGATTTACTTCAGCTTTAACAGCAACTACCAAAACTGTCCTGAAATGTTGTTTCCCTGTGTACTGTCAGATTCCCAATCTTCCTACCGACTTCTCATGTGTTAGGAGCATGAAAAGGCGGGTCGGAATATTCCTCAAGATCGTGTTCAAGTTCCTCAAAATCGCGTCAATGCACTTGTATCTCCTATAATGTTCATATATAAGATTTAATGGACGATACCAATTGCTTACCATCAGGTGACCTACAAACTTTTAATAAAGACTAGATAAAACACAATCAATCATCATTTGACCACAAAGCGTAAACTTCTTAAATTAGATTTTGTGCTAACCTAACATAAATTATATTTTACGACTCAGTCGCCTTATAATGTATTTTACGAAGTACCTTGAAAAGTTTCGAACCACACACAGCGCTCAAAGTCATGAGCACCATTGTACGACAAACGATACAATTAATGCCGCGAAAGCAACTGTCTTAAAACAAATAGTTGTCCAGCCACTGCACGGTTGGTGCGGTAGCTGGGCAACTGGCTGCAGTGCAACGTGTCGCGGGTTCGATTCCCGCACGGAACAACTCTTTGTGTGATCCACAAATTGTTGTTCGGGGTCTGGGTGTCATGTGTATGTGAAATTGAATGTTTGTAACCGCACCCACGACACAGGAGAAAATCCTAATGTGGGGCATCGTTTATATAAAACAAAAAAAAATATTAACCATGCAGAAAATGTACTTGTGACACATATATACTACTACTGATATCAAAAGGCCTGTTGTTGAACTGATGTCTTCTGTTCCAGATAATCCTGCTGGTGAAGGCGCTGGACAAATACAATATCACATACTTCACAGTAACAGCGCAGATTGTGTCGCACGTACTAGCCTACATGAACAGCTGCGTCAACCCAGTGCTGTACGCCTTCCTCTCTGAAAACTTCAGGGTCGCCTTCAGGAAGGTGAGAATGAGAATTTTAACATTTATTACTGAAAAACCCAGCCAGCACATCAAGCTATCCGACGTCGTCCAATCGATTTTCAACTTTAGAAGTTGATAGTAGTAAAGTTAAAAATCGTTTATGGAGTTAAGGCCTGATTTTTCAATGGTATGATAATAGTTACCTAAGGAATAATTATGATGCTGTCGCGTCAGAATGTTTGTATAAGACAGAGACAGCAACAATTTTATTCCCCAGATAACATTTATCTGACTATTGAAAAATCAGCCCTCTGTCTAAGACAGATTGGATTATATTGAAATGCTGTTTGTATTTTAAGTTACTTGCATGATTGTTATTAACAATTGTAACCTTGACCAGGTTAATTCGTAAATTAAGTCTAATTATGACTATCTTTAGTAGAAAAAATGAAAATCGATATGTGTGTACTTATATATGAAATTGTACTTACATTATATTAATTTGATAATGTAGCCTTCGAAGGTAAAGGTACTCGTAATAGCTTAACAGCTTTTGTCTCATTACGATCCTTCTACAAACTATCGGACAATCCGATCGTAACAGCTCTTTTTTCCTTAAATGATTTTAAACTGGAGTAATTTGGGCGTTTAAGAAGACATTAGCAACGAACTTTCTGAATCCGGAATTCTATCTAAAATACCATCAAATCAGTATTACTTCACCAATATTATTCTTATTAAAGCAAACTTTTTACTGTCAACTGGCTCCCTACGTAAAAAGCAATATTGTAGGTTAGCAAGAAATATGTGCAACGAATTTCCAATAAAAAATCAGGTGTGAACTACACTGTTTTAAAGCAAACGTTATTGGTTCACTTACAGTCGATAATTGGAGCATCTAGAACAAAGAGAGAGCGAAAAAGAGAGAATAGCAAAAGTCACAATGTAAGTACTTCCTTTGTCAGCCAAACCCAATAATTGGTCACTCAGTTCCTCTGTATGCATACATATATCACAGTGTTATATGTTGTTCTACAGAATGTGTGTTGTTCCACAATATACGTATCATCCCACAGAATACATGTTGTTCCACAGTATACGTGTTATTACACGGAATTCGTGTTGTTCCACAGTATAGCTGTTGTTCCACATTATAGCTGTTGTTCTACAGTATAACTGTTATTCCACAATATAACTGTTGTTACACAGTATAATTGTTGTTCCACATTATAACTGTCGTTCCACAGAATACGTGTTGTTCCACAGTATACGTGTTGTTCCACAGAATACGTGTTGTTCCACACTATACGTGTTGTTCCACAGTATACGTGTTGTTCCACAGAATACGTGTTGTTCCACAATATACGTGTCATCCCACAGAATACATGTTGTTCCACAGTATACGTGTTATTACACGGAATACGTGTTGTTCCACACTATACGTGTTGTTCCACAGTATACGTGTTGTTCCACAGAATACGTGTTGTTCCACAATATACGTGTCATCCCACAGAATACATGTTGTTCCACAGTATACGTGTTATTACACGGAATACGTGTTGTTCCACACTATACGTGTTGTTCCACAGTATACGTGTTGTTCCACAGAATACGTGTTGTTCCACAATATACGTGTCATCCCACAGAATACATGTTGTTCCACAGTATACGTGTTATTACACGGAATTCGTGTTGTTCCACAGTATAGCTGTTGTTCCACATTATAGCTGTTGTTCCACAGTATAACTGTTGTTTCACGTTTTAACTGTTGTTCCACATTATAACTGTTGTTCCACAGTATAACTGTTGTTCCAAGTATAACTGTTGTTCCAAGTATAACTGTTGTTCCACTGTATATGCTTGGTTCCACAGTACACGTGTTGTTCCACAGTACACGTGTTGTTCCACAATATACGTGTTGTTCTATATTATACGTGTTGTTCCTTAGTATACCTGTTTTCGTACCTATCCAGTGTTTATGTTCATGATCTTATCTAATATTGTGTAATCGTGCAATCATGTCAGTGTAACCGACGTTCATTAGATTGACATCTGTAATTAAGACATGATTTCAATCAAGGGTCCAGAGCCCTCCATTTGATAGTTGTCAATTTAGATCGCATTAATGCAAGCGATAACAGCTAACCAACAATTAGGTGATATTATGGCAACGATAATTTGAAATAGTCTATTCAGTACTAAAATAGTTAAATTATTATTTCCACTGACATCTGTTTGATGCAATCCACAATATTGATTTGCTGAATAGTTAAAATGTCCCATTTTTTATGGACATTTTTATAATTTCTATTGGTGTATGTTTAGTTTTTCTTAACAATAAGCAATAATCTTTGGTGGAGGGTCCAGGTGTTGGGAGCTTCGGTTTCTACTTGGTTTTCTTATGGCTTATTTCCAAAAAATCATTGAAGATCTTTGTTTATTCTTCAATCTGTTGGTTGACGTATCAATGTTTGTGCACATAATAGTGTTGTTTTGTAAATACATTTATAAATGTGGCGTCAGTGTGTGTTTTGTTATCAATGTCACTTGAAGTTACACTTTAGAATTTGTGCTAAACTTTCTACTTTCAAAATTAAACATTTATGTACATATTAAATGTCACTTTATCGTGAGGTTCTAAGTGTAGATGGTAATACCACTGATTGCCGTTTTTATCTGAGTCTGGTAAAAAGCTAAAAGGCAATCAAGGATCAGGTGATCGGAAAATTCTATATTTATTTAATTGTTTTTCATGTGATATGACGGTAAACGAGCTGACAGACTATCTGATGGTAAGCAATCGGTACCACCCGCAACACCAGAGAAGTTACGAGCGCGTTACCGTTTTGGGGATTATGGTTTTGAAAATTGAGAGATTGGGGAGACAATCAATGACGTATCAATGACGGATGCCCAATCCTCGGATTGGGCATCCGGTAACATCACTCACACGGCGAAACACAACGTTGTAGTCGTTTATTACTGAATTATAACTGCTTACCTTTCTCAGTTAGAACAAATAAGATATTTGCTATTAAAAGTATGTATACCAATGCCCGCCCCAGATTTATTGGACCAACCAAAAGGGAAACTTATAAAAGAAATTATCTTTATCTACAGTTGTTGCTTGGTCACGAATTCTCATAAAAACTTCGTCTTAATTAAAACGTTCTTCGTTAAGACTTTTATCTTGAGGGGGCTGGGATTATTAGCCAAATATCTAGGTAAGTCTGTATTCCACTTGAAATTCTGTCGAGGTCGAGTTTTACATGAAAAAGGGAATGTCTAGCAGCTGACGCATAATGTCCATTGGAGTCTCAAAATGATCAATTTACTTTAAAACAAATTTGTAATCAGTGTTTGGGCGTAATGAACTAAGTTTTTAATAAATAGCTACTAATGAGGAGAGGGTCTTGTTATTCTATTGTTGGATATAAAATTTTCTTTGCAAATTTGAAAAATAATATTTAGTTTATAAAGTTTGGACTGGGTAATGTTTATGACGCCAGTCCTGTTAACAATTAGGCTGGCCATTTGTATCTAGATTACGATTTGAACAAAATTACTTATCCACGTTTTTATTCGATTCAGATTCAAAGTTTTTTTTTTAATTTACCTGATCATTACCTGATGGTAAGCAATAGGCGCCGCTCATGGACACCCACAACACCTAAGGAGTTACGAGTGCGTTGCCGGCCTTTTGGGGGTAGGGGTTGCGGATATAAGGATCGGGAAGGGATAGGAGAAGGGGCGGGATTGGGCCTCCGGTAACCTCACTCACACGGCGAAACACAACGCTGTAGCTGTTTCACGCCGGTATTCTGTGAGGCCGTTGTATCACTCCGGTCGAGCCGACCCATTCGTGCCGAAGCTTAAGTACAATTTTAATCAGCCCAAAACAGCATACAAATCGACCATTCTGAACAGACATTTTTAATATAAATTTGAATAATATCGCGCGGTTTCACCCGCTGCTCGGCGCCATTTCATCGTACCATGATGCC